CTGCCCCCCCTGCAGAAACCAGTTCCTTCTGACACCCTGTCTCCTACTACAGAAACCTATCCCCCTGCTCCCCTCTGCAGAAACCTGTCCCCCCAGCACCCTGTCCCCTGCTGCAGAAACCCGTCCTGGCACCCTGCCCCCTCTCCCCTGTCCCCACTGGCACCCTGTTCCCTGCTCCAGAACCCACTAGCACTCCTCCCCAGTACTGTGTCCCCTGCTCCTAGGCAGTTCAAAGCACAACAAAACGTGGTTGTGCATGATATTTTAGTGAGCCTACTTCATCTTTCTCTCCATTTTTACATTGTTGCTTCCTGGTCTTGATTGAAAAGAGTATTATTTTATCCTTTAAATTGATTACTGTGCAATGATTGACTTAATCTCTCCCAACACTTTCCCTTAAAACAAAGAGAGAATTGATAAGTAACTTAGTAACTATAGGCATTTTTTGCTTTGAGGTTGCATGATACTTGAGTTCAGAACTTTGGTCCTTATCCTGCAGAATCTTACTTGCAAAGTCAACAGCACTGTTTTTGAGCTCCAGAGGGTAGCCAAGTTAGTTACAGAAAACAACAACAAATGGTCTGGTAGCACTTTATACTAACAAAACATGTAGATCAGTGGTCTCCAACCTTTTTATACCCAAGATCACTTTTTAAATGACAGACCAAGCCAAGATCTACCGCCCCGCCCCTTCCTTGAAGCCCTGCCCCTTCCTTGAAGTCCCGCCCTCTCTATTCTCTTCCTCTCCATCACTTGCTATCCCCAGTCTTTATACTGCTGCTTATTTTATTTTTTTATTCTTCTGTAGGAAGAGGTTTTTCCAACATTTGGCCTGTCTATACTGGACCAAATGTCAGGAAAAAAAAAGTGATAGAAATATAGCCGTGTTAGTCTGGGGTAGCTGAAGCAAAATGCAGGACAATGTAGCACTTTAAAGACTAACAAGATGGTTTATCATCATCTAATAAACCATCTTGTTAGTCTTTAAAGTGCTACATTGTCCTGCATTTTGCTTCAGCTACCCCAGACTAACACGGCTATATTTCTATCACTTTTTTTTTCCTGACATTTGGTCCAGTATAGACAGGCCAAATGTTGGAAAAACCTCTTCCTACAGAAGAATAAAAAAATAAAATAAGCAGCAGTATAAAGACTGGGGATAGCAAGTGATGGAGAGGAAGAGAATAGAGAGGGCGGGACTTCAAGGAAGGGGCAGGGCTTCAAGGAAGGGGCGGGGCGGTAGATCTTGGCTTGGTCTGTCATTTAAAAAGTGATCTTGGGTATAAAAAGGTTGGAGACCACTGATCTACATGTTTTGTTAGTATAAAGTGCTACCAGACCATTTGTTGTTGTTTTCTGTAACTAACTTGGCTACCCTCTGGAGCTCAAAAACAGTGCTGTTGACTTTGCAAGTAAGATTCTGCAGGATAAGGACCAAAGTTCTGAACTCAAGTATCATGCAACCTCAAAGCAAAAAATGCCTATAGTTACTAAGTTACTTATCAATTCTCTCTTTGTTTTAAGGGAAAGTGTTGGGAGAGATTAAGTCAATCATTGCACAGTAATCAATTTAAAGGATAAAATAATACTCTTTTCAATCAAGACCAGGAAGCAACAATGTAAAAATGGAGAGAAAGATGAAGTAGGCTCACTAAAATATCATGCACAACCACGTTTTGTTGTGCTTTGAACTGCCTAGCATTTAGATAATAAACACTAAAGCCAATAGGTCTCAGATATTAATAAAAATCATAGAGTTTTGAAGCAATTTGGAAATATTTTTATTTGAACAAGGTAGCACAAAGTGTTGCCATACTGGACCATAAGGCTGGACCGTACTTTTAGGTAATTCACTGAAAAAAAGCTATAGTCTGCAATTCAAAAGTAGTTTGCAATATGCTATATGAAATTAACCTGATAAATCTATTTATATCACTGATATGAACAGACAACAAGTTGAACCTCTCTAGTCCAGGAACATTCATGGTCTGACATGATTTTAGTGAGGTGTATGTCCATTTATCATGGGTGTGGCCAAGTTTCCCAAAGGCCCCATAAAGTTGTTTACAGTCACCAGTCCTACTCTGTTTTCTGTGCTGTTACTTAGCTCTAATTTGACCTTAAATGTCTTCTAAGAGCCAGTAAGACAAAGATTGACCTCCTGTGGTTCAGCAAATTATCTGGTTTGGCACTCGCCAAGTTCTGTGGGTTCCTGACTGAAGAGGTTCAACCTGTAGTTTAAAGTCCAGCTATAGACTTTCTTACTGACATTAAATGAGGGTGAGGGAAACAGTTTTCAATTATATTTTTATCTAAGAGGCATTGGAGGAAGAAGATGGTGCCTCCCCCATATAAAACCCAGTCCAGTTCCAAGTAATCACTGAAAAAAGTCACAAGGTCCATACAAAATGACTAATGTACTAGTCAATGCTTAGTGGAAAGTTTTAGTAGATCTCTGGCAAACAACAGCAGGAGTCAATCAGTCTCTTCCATGTTTTCTTGACCTGCTGATGCTATCAGCCTGGGATAATTCAAGAGACACTTAATGAAAATGAGTTTAAACTTTAGAGCATCTCCAGTTTACAGGCACACAAATCCTTAAGCAACATGTGTGCACATCTTGTTCATAGTGTCCACTTCCAGTGGAGCAGCATGTCCATCTGCTCCAAACGAGAGAGAGCAGCCCTGTAACTAGTCACTTCTGAAAGAAAGTTAATATTTTTCTCTGATCTAAGACATGGGATAGAAAAGGGAGCGTGAAGCCCACCCCAATGGTAAGGCTCCTCCAGCTATGGATGACAGCTGGCATGCTCTGCTGAGGAGGGCCAAGGCTGAGGAGGGAGAGGTTTCCCTGGGCGCTGGGGTGGGATGGGGCAGGCCCCCATAGAGAGGGTGAGGAGGGCTGGTGTTTACCTGGGCACTCAGGTAGCGCTTCAGGCACTCCTCACACACCGCCTTCTTGCAGCAGGGCAGGGGCTTGACCGGCTTCTCCTCCAGGCACACCCGGCAGCTCAGCACCAGCAAGGGCCCGAAGTCCCCCGCGATCAGCCCGGAGAAGGGCTCGGGCAGCAGGTAAAAGTCCACCTCGATGCTGCCCCCCGAGGACAGGGGGTCTCCGGCATGGGCGCGGCCGGGGGGCAGGGCCCCGGGGGCTCCGGCGGGCGGGGGTCCCGGCCCAGCGTGGTCGTTCTCCACGCAGTACACGGTGCAGTACACGTGCCTCCGCGGCGGGGGGAGGCGGCGGCGGCGG